TGACAAAAGCAAGTTGTGTAGCAGCATAGCGTGGTCCATCGCCTCAGGCCACTGATGGTTGGGTAGTCGCATGCCACGTAGCATCTTGCGCATGGTGTTCTGGAGGGTCCTGTTCATCCTTTCTGCCATGCCTTGCTGTTGATGAGCGTAGGGAAGAGAGATGAGCCGCTTGATGCCTCTCTCCGCCAGGTATTGCTTGAAGCGCTGTGACTGATATTCTCCTCCCCCGTCTAACTGAAAACTTTTCAGCTTCACTCCTGATTCCCTCTCTGCTGCTGGGAGCCAAGCGACGAAGGCTTCGAAGCCCATGTTGCGACTCGGAAGGTTGAGATGCCAGACGTATCTGGTGGCAGCGTCGATGAAAGTGATTACGTAGTTGTATGCTCCCTGTCCGATTTCGTGGGTGTATAGTATGTCACTGTAGACCTTCTCTTGTAGTGTGTATGCTGGTGCGCTCGGGTTGTGATGAGAGACGAACGGCTGATGGGGTAAATCGACTTCTGGGTAGGTAAAGCAAGTTCCGCGAACTCGTTGAAGTTCTCTGCCGTCTGGTAAGAGTAGTGAGTCTTTGTCGAGAACTCCTGCTCTTATCGTGTTGTTCAGTGTCATGTTGCTGGGATGTCCTAACCTTTGATGCCACAATGATTCGTCGGCACGATGTCCAGGTGAACGTCTGTACAAATGGGAGTTGCAGTAGAAACTTGAGGTAATGTTGGCACTTCTGTAAACGTCCCGTGGAGCGGGAGTCAGCTGTTGAGCGGGAGTCGGTCTGGTATCAGTGGTGGGAGTTGGTGCTGATGAGGAGCTAGCGATTGGTGCAGGTGATATTGTTGTTACTTCTGCTTCTGCCGATTTTGCTTCTGGTGCTATTGTCTCTGCTGTTGCTGATGTTGTTGCTGCTGCTGTTGTCTCTGCTGCTGCTGTCTGTTGAATCACTGCTAACGCCCTTGTCCGTTCTGCTTCAGGTATAGTGTGTGAATACCAGAAGCCTCCGGGGCTAAAGTTTGGGTCGAGATCTGGTGGGTGCGACCAAGTGGTGAAGTTGACGATCGCGTTGCTGTCAGCAGTTCCTTGATCTGGGACGAAATCGAGAACGAAGACGTTGTTCTTCAGGACCGCTTTCCCAATGTAAATTCCACCCTTCCCATTGTACAGCTTGAATTCCTGAGTGGTGCTGTCGGCTTCGAGATGAATCCCTTTTGCCATGAGTTGACTGACGCTGAGTAAGTTGTAGCCCAGTCCTTCTGCAATCAAAACCCTCGACATCTGTAAAACGTCGTTAGTCTCGCGGGACTGAAGTTGAACTACTCCTTGTCGTTGTGTGCGCAGGTTCTGGTTGTTGGCGACAGTTATCACGACTTCCCGGTTGAGGCGTTGTTCCCATTGGACGAAGCGGTTTGACGAGCACATGCGTTGTCCACAGCAGCTGTCCAAGAACCAAGTATCTTGACCGGACGGTTCGCTCTGTGCGATAGCTGTGTACGTCGGATTTGGTTCCGGCGATTCGCGACGAGGCGTGCTTTCATCAAGCAGTTCTTCTGGTGATTAGGTCGATGGTGAATTGGTGATGCAGGAGTCTGTTCTTGTCATGCAACTTATGATATTTCTTGTTCCTCGAGCAGGTCGTGATGTTGTCGTTGAAGGCGGCGCCTGGTTGGGAGGATGCGGTTATGTGGAAGCAACTTGACTACTTGAGGGTCGAAGCTGACGTGGTGTTGGTGTCGATTGTTGTTGATTCGGGCAGTCAATACGGGAGTGGCCAGACGTTCGACAGAGGTGGCAGAATGGTGGTACGTGTCTTCGTCCTTGATGCTCTTCCTGTCGGTTGTTGTTGTTGTAGCGCCGTTGAGTGTAAAAAGCGAACTCTGGTGCTGATGCCCTTTTCTTGTGACGTTCTTAGTGCAGGTCCATGTCTTGTTGTTTGGTGTGAATTTCGGCGCAGAGGTTTGCTTCGGAGATTCATCCATGGGCTCGAAAAATGGCACGGGTGGAGCACCACTAAGGACCAAGGCCTGTGATGACAACAGTGACAAAAGTTTTTTCGGATATTGATCCGCCGCATCGAAGGAGTCTATCGCGTAGACCGCGACAGTGACTGATATATGCCATTCCCTTTTCGCCGGGTTGCATTTGGACCGTTGTCAATTGTGCCATGAGACGAATTTGATTAACGCCGACGCTTGCTTGATTCAGGTTCTTCAGGTGGTTGTGCGCGAGCTCGGTGGAGTTTCCGTATCCGCGATAAGACTGGATGTTCTGCTGCTCGTTTGACGTTATGTTTCGCAAGAGTATGGTGTACGCCATTAGTGACTTATACTTGTATTGCTGCTTGTCATACTGTGTCCCGCGCGTTGGATATGGCAGGGTGCCGTCGAAGAAGCCAAGAAAGTCCCGTCTGAACCGCTCGCGCAGCTGGCGACGAGTAGCACGGATCCAGGGGATCAAAACACCGCTGACGTCCGCCTTGCGCCGCAAGGGGAAGATAGTGATGTAACGTGTGTAGTCGTCAACAACCACCAAGAAGTAGCGCTCCCGGTCCGTTCCACCGATGGGGGCTGGGCCCCAAATGTCCATGTGGAGAGTCTGCAGAGGAGCAGTGGTCGGAGGAAACTCGGAGGAGTGAGGAGCGGCGCGCTGCCGCCCCTCGACGCAGGGAAGGCACGGCGGGGCAGGTGAGCACGGGAGGGAGGGCAGGGACCTGGGAAGGCCAGAGACAAGGAGACGGGAGTGCATACTGTGGAGACGCGGTAGGGAGGGGTGACCGAGGCGGTGGTGCCAGAGGAGAGTCTGGTGAGAGAATACCCGATACGAGAAAGATGCTGCAAGCTGACCAGACGCAGACACCTGACTCGACGCAGCCACCTGTCCTGCCTCAGCCACCTGTGCAGACGCAGTGGTCAGTGTGTACAGACTAGACTCAGGCCGTCGATTGAACGTAGCCAGGTGACGGCCAGTCCGAGAGCACGTACATATCGCCATACGCTGCCGTCCAGGAATTGAGGTATCAACCCAGACATCCTGAATGGCAGCGTTGCTCACCAAGTTCGTCGAGAACGTGGGGAGGTGGAGACCTGACAGAGAACCAGAGGGGACTGCTGGACACGGGAGGGCAGTGGATGCTCGTGCGACTACTGGGCCCCCAGTGGGGTCAGCCAGTGAGACCGGTACCGGTGCAGCAAGTTGTGTGAGTGTGGTGCAGTCACGAAAGAAGCAACGTGATGCGCCTATGTCAATTGTGAAAGTGTGCAAGGCCTCAGCTGAGGAAGGACCTGTGGCGGGAGACGCACCAGCACCTAAAGCTGCAGCAAACTCACTAGCACCTAGTGCTGCAGCAGACTCACTAGCACCTAGTGCGGCAGCAGACTCACTAGCACCTAGTGCAGCAGCCTCGACAGAACCAGTGACACATCGCTGAGGAAACAACTCACTAAGCACCTGAGGGGAGAAGGTCTCCTGTTGACTCTGCTGCCGCCTCTGTGCAGTTTGTAGAAAACCAAAGCCTCCACCACCTGGACGGGCTCGCTGAAGAACCCACTCACGAAGCTGCTGAGGGGTGGGGTCGTCCGGGAGAGGCAGTGATCGCCGCTGTCCATGTCAGAACTAGCAGTAGAAAGTAAGAATGAAGAAAGGAGGGGTTTCACTAGCAAGCAGTTGAGTACATATAGGAAACCCTAGATTGGGCTGTACTCGCTATAGAGCACCCCACTGCAGGCTAGACAAATACAACATTCTGACAGTCCACCCCTAGCCGCTACAACTGCCGTGATAGTGGCCATGACAGGCAGTGACGGTCAGTAGTAGGTCCAGCACCTCCGGCACTAGCAGCACCTCCAGCACTCCCAGTCGCACCTCCGGCACCAGCAGCACCTCCAGCACTCCCAGTCGCACCTCCAGCACCCCCAGCACCAGCAGCACTCCAGCACTCCCAGCAGCACCTCCACCAGCAGCAGCAGTAGCACGAGCAGCAGCAGCAGCAGAAAGTGGCAGCAGGGCAGCTCGGTGGGGCTGGTGATCAAGGTAGGGCGGCGCGGCTTGGGTTGGGCAGGGCGGCTCGGGCTGGGCGGCGCGGCTCGGCCGGGCAGGGCGCGCCGCGGGCTGCAGGGCAGGGCGCGCGGTGGACAGGGCAGCAGGGCACGCGCTGTGCAGGGCAGCAGGGCGCAACGCGAGGGGCAGCAGAGCGCGACGCGCTGGCTGCAGTAGAGCGTGACGCGCTGGCTGCAGCAGGGCGCAACGCGCAGGGCAGCAGAGCGCGATGCGCTGGCTGCAGTAGGGCGCGACGCGCTGGCTGCAGCAGGGCGCGACGCGCAGGGCAGCAGGGCGCGACGCGCTGGCTGCAGTAGGGCGCGAAGCGCTGGCTGCAGCAGGGCGTGACGCGCAGGGCAGCAGGGCGCGACGTGCAGGCTGCAGCAGGGCGTGAGGCGCGGAGCAGCAGAGCGCGACGCGCGGGCTGCAGCAGGGCGCGACGTGCGGGGGGGGCAGGCAGTGCGAGTAGCTGCAGGGCAGCGCGACACTGTGCGAGCAGGGCCGGACAGCGCAAGGGCGCTTCGCGCAGGAACGAGCGAAACTATCGGTGGGCCCTAAAAACTTAACAGGTTTCCTGCCCTGAATACCATGTCAGAATCCCAACCATTGGACCATTTGGATAAAAGGGATTGTTAAGTAGCGGGTCAGTGCGCCCATAACCCCCCAGGACAACGAGCCTGTAACCCTTCCCTATGATCAATCGGGGATCACCAGTGGACCTCTTACACCCCCCCGCACTGGAATGCCCGAAGTACACACACTGGGATTCAAATCCAAGACCTTTGCTCTGATACCATGTCGGAATCACTATGCAAGAATGATTGGATTAGCAAGAGTTGGGGTACAAGTACTAACCCTAGAAGTGCTGTACCCCATAAGGAGTGCCCCACTATAGCATACAAGTAAAATTGTACTTTGACAATATACTGTATGATACACAGCAGAACAGGGAAATACTTTCCTGAGCACCGGCACTACTAGTGAGACCTAGCATCTGCCCCTCCCCTAGCTGCCTCCAGGGCGAGCAGCAGTGAGGCCAGGCGTCCCACAACCTCCTGCTCATACTCCGCCTCGTCCCCCCCTTGCTGCACCTCCCCCACATGGGCCTGCAGAGCGGCCCTCACGCGCTCCAGTGCCAGCTCAGGGCGGCAGCATGCAAGCAGCACTCGGCGCGTGGAGGGGGATGCACCCAGCAGGCTGTGCAGCGCTGCTGCTGCCTGCACAGGGAAGGGGTGGGCAGAGGGGGAGTGTAGAGTGCAGGTGGACAGAACAATGAATAACTGGGCATTGGAGCAAGCAGACATGCATGAGCGGACAGAACAACGTGCATGATAAATCATGGCTAATGTCTGTACCCTTGATGCATGCATCCAGCATGCAAGCACCATGAGCCCCACCCACTCACCTTATCCACCACCCACCTTATCCGCCACCCACCTTATCCGCCACCCACCTTATCCCCCACGCACCTTATCCCCCACGCACCTTATCCCCCACCCACCTTATCCCCCACCCACCTTATCCGCCACCCACCTTATCCCCCACCCACCTTATCCCCCACCCACCTTATCCCCCACGCACCTTATCCCCCACGCACCTTATCCCCCACCCACCTTATCCCCCACCCACCTTATCCGCTACCCACCTTATCCCCCACCCACCTTATCCCCCACCCACCTTATCCCCCACACACCTTATCCCCCACGCACCTTATCCCCCACCCACCTTATCCCCCACCCACCTTATCCGCCACCCACCTTATCCCCCACCCACCTTATCCGCCACGCACCTTATCCGCCACCCACCTTATCCAGCATGTCCAGGTCCCACGTGCTGCTGCCGTCCTCACTGCGCCTCCACACTGCCCCCTGCCCCTCCACACCCTCCCCCTCATCCCTCCCTAGTAGCCCCACCACTGCCCTCATCAGCTCCTCATCTGCCAACCACTCTTTTCTTTCTTGCACCTCCTCCCATCCTTGCTCCTCCCCCTTATTAGCCTCCTCACTGTCTCCCTCACCCTTCATCCCTAACGCCATCCTCAACCCCTCCTTCTCCCCCTCCTTCCCCTCGCCCCCTACCCACGCCCCCACACTGTCAGCGAGGTCAGCGAGCAGGAAGAGCGCCCTGTGCTGTGTGCGGGGGGATGGTACGGACAGCAGGCGCACCAGCAGGGCCACACCACCGTGGCGGTAGAACCAATGGGTGGCTGCCACGTGGCCACGGATGGCAGCAGAGAGGGCGAAGAGCAGCCTGGCGTGCTCGTCCTCGCCCACAGGGGGGGTGGGCTGCGGTGAGTGCAGGCGCGTGAAGAGTGCATGGAGTACACCCGTGTCCATCACCTGGCGCACGCATGAGGGTGGGGGGTTGGGTGGAGGGGGGGGGGAAGAGAGACCAAACGGATGTGAGGACAGGCGAGGGAGATATGGGAGGGGGGCGAGGATGGTGTAGAGGAGTGGGGGGGATGGTGTAGAGGAGTGGGGGGGATGGTGTAGAGGAGTGGAGGGGATGGTGTAGAGGAGTGGGGGGGATGGTGTAGAGGAGTGGGGGGGATGGAGTAGAGGAGTGGGGGGGATGGTGTAGAGGAGTGGGGGGGATGGTGTAGAGGAGTGGGGGGGATGGTGTAGAGGAGGGGGAGGATGGTGAAGAGGAGTGGGGGGGATGGCGTAGAGCAAGGGGGGGATGGCGTAGAGCAAGGGGGGGATGGCGTAGAGGAGGGGGAGGAGGGGCGTGGACAGCAGCACACCTGGTGCTGCACTTGGCGGTTGTTCTGCGCCGCCTTGCCCACCACCAGCGCCGCCATGCTGCGCACCTCGCTGCTCGCATGCGCCACCAGCGCCCCCAACGGTGCCAGCCCGCCCAGCTTGTGCAGATCTGCCGTGGAGACATGCATGGGCATGGTGGAGAGTGACAGGCAGGGTGGACAAAGAAACAAGCGGAACGGGTTGATATGTTGGAGACACAGACTCGAATGCTGTTCACAAAACCTGGCTTACAGTGAAGCACAACCATGAAGCACCGAACAAGATAAGTTGCAATGAGCGGAAGTTTAAAGTGGAAGGGAGATGGTGTTTGGTGGGAGTGCAGGTGGGAGGGCGAGAGATGGGAGAGATGGGAGCACAGGGAAGGGATGAGATGGCAGGGGGGGAAGCAGATCCGCCTCCTCATGTGTGGTGTGCCAACATGGGCAAGCAAGGGCGAGGTGGCATGGCAGGGGAGCAGCGCACCGTTGGCGGCATGCACGGGCTCCACCAGCTGCGACAGCTCCTCCAGCGCCCCCACCACGCGCTCATGCTCCTCCCCTCCCCCTTGCTCCCCTGGCGCCCCCCCATTAGCAGCAGCAGCCGGGGCGATGTGGGCAACGGCGGCGCGCATGAGGTCGCCGGGGGACGGCATGCGCATGGCCTCCACCACGTCCTGCACGGGGGGCGGGGGGGGGGGGGGGGGATGCACGGAGGGTGGCATTGGGGGATGGAAACACAGGATGCAGAAGAGCAAAGACAGAGCACTTGTGAGGCAAGGCGAGGTGAGGTGAGGCGAGGCGAGGCGAGGCGAGGCGAGGCGAGGCGGGGCGGAACTCACGCGGATGTGTTTTCGCTTCTCCTCCAGCTCCGCGGGTGTGAGCTCCGCCACCTCCTTGGCTCTCTGCTTCAACGCCTCCGGGTCCGACCGCTCTGCTCACACACGGAGAGGGCACGCATGACTCGAGATGGCAGCAGAGGTGGTGCGCAGACAAGGAGGGGGGCATATGGCACGTGGTGACAGGCGCGCAGGCGCGACGTCCAGCATGAGTGCGGTCGTACACATGCTGGGAACACGGTTCATACCAGCGGACCCACAACCAGCTGCTTGCACCACCTATGGCCAGCATACACCGTGCATACCTATGGCCCACTGCAGCATCGCATCCATGCTCGCAAAGCCCCCCTCCGCCCCTTCCTCCCCCTCTCCGCCTCCCCCTCCCGGCCCACTCCCCCCCGCTTCGTGCTCGTCGCCCGCTCGCCTGGGAACCACCACTTCCACGTCAGCATGCTCCAGCGACGGGATCGTGCTGTTCGCCAGGCCAATTGAGAGCGAGGACACGTCAGGGTAGGCCTCGTCCACGTCAGCCGAGCTGCGCGGCGACTCGCGATGCGGCGATGGGGACGAAACGGCGGGTTGCCTCGTGGCGGGCGGGGCTGCGATCGGCGCGCTGTCGTCGGGTGGAGGGGGTACCAACACGAGACCTTGCGCCGAGGCGCGGAGGGAAAGATGCGATGAGAGGAGGAGCGGGAGGAGGAGGATGAGGAGCGCAAGAGAACGCGGCGAACGTGATGGTGGTGGTAATGGTGGTCTTATGGAAGAACGTGATGGTTCGCACGGTGGCGCAGGAACTCGAGCTGCCATGCTCGTCGGGAATTCTCGACACACAACTGAAGCACGCGAAGCAGATGCAAAGATCGGTATAGCTCGCGAAACGGAAGGTTGGAAACAGTGGCTGCTGCCACGGGCACAGATGAGTAAAAGGCTGGTCGGGACTGGCGCAGAGGTCCTGTTCGCTATGGCGCGCTGAAACAGGGGGGATGGGGATAAGCGAAGGGATCGCGAAACTGTCGACGAAGTGAGTTGCATGTAGGGTGACGAGTTGAGGGATGGGGCGAAAGAGAGGGAGGAACCGGCGTGACGACGGAGACGAGGGATGAGCCAATCAGCTCGTCGACGACAGCACAATCTGCATTGCGCAATGTTGGGAGGGATAAACGCAAATGGCGCATACGCGATAGTGGCTGCGTGCGTGCCCATGTCTTTTGGGAATGGAATATAGAATGCATAACAGTATTATTTTCTCGAAGAGCCTAGCTAATCCAGCCTCAACCATATTCTTACTTAATGAGCGATGCTGGCTGAACTGGATTCAAATATCGGATATCTTCTCTATACTGCAGACTTATACTATGTTTCTCAAGCATTTTAAATGCGTACAGCTTGGTGGAGTCATCTTCAGCAGCGACCCACACGTGTCCGCACCGACACCACACGATCGTGTGGGTACCAGTAAAGCGTACAGAAGCCCACAACGTACAGTACTTTCCATCTAAATGCGCCCCTTTTGAATCCCTCTCCATACATGGTCGAGCTGAGACACAAGGGGGGAGGCCTCGGGTGAAGGTCGGCCGTTGGCTCATTTGCGAGATTTGCGGTGCTATCGGCGATCAAGTGTAGTAAGCAGTTTAACTACTCGAGGAACTTAGGCTCGTCGTCGCTTCCGCCGCGCGAACGATCAATCAGCGGCCGTGACGATCGCAACTGCGGCTCGGGAGCGCGATTCGTGCGTGAGGAAGCGATTATTGTCGGCTTTGCGAGTCGAATTGTGGATCGTCGAAAGCAACTGGCGGCAGGAGGTTGAGCCGCCGTTGATTCGCGATGGCGGCCTCGACGGACGACCGCGATGGCATCTCAGGAGTAAGGCAGCCGAAGCGGGAAGAGATGCGGAACAGGACAGGTGGCGACCTCTTTGATTCCGCGCCAATCACCGCCTATCCAGCCAGCAGCCACAGGCGTGAGCAGCAATGGAGGCAGCAGTTTCCTTTAATCGCCCCCCGTTTTTCAAGAGTCACAGCTCACCTCCCATTCCGCCCCCCCCCTACACTCCCAACCCCCCGCCCTTCTCGCCCCTCCCCCGGTCCCACCCCTCCGTCCTCCCGGCAGCCATCGTCGGAGGACAAAGCGTCGCTGTGGTCGCGCCTGACGTTCGCGCGGGTGGGGCCGCTTATCCACTCATCTGCTCAACCGCTCACCCGCTCATCCGCCTCACGTTCTTTTCCTCCTCCCCCCCGTGCCATCCGCTCTCTCCCCGCAGCCGTCGCCCGAGGACGAAGCTTCCCTGTGGTCGCGGCTGACGTTCGCGTGGGTGGGGCCCCTCATCCGCTCATCCGCTCATCCGCTCATCCGCTCATCCACTCATCCGCCTCACGTTCTTCTCCTCCTCCTCCCCCTCCCATCCCCTCTCTCCCCCCAGCCGTCGCCAGAGGACGAGGCGTCGCTGTGGTCGCGCCTCACGTTCGCGTGGGTGGGGCCGCTCATCCGCGTGGGCAACGCCAAGGTGCTGCACGCCTCCGACCTGCCGCCCCTCTGCCCGCGCGACTCCACTGCTGCCGTCGCACCCTCGCTCAGGGCCGCGTGGCAGGCCGAGACGAACGCCACGCACAGGTGCTCCAGCAGAGTTGTACTGTATGTATGTATATTTTCATGTATATGCATGATATGTGTGTGTCTATCATTTACATACTATGTGAATATGTGCATCGTGCTTACGTCACTGAGCTTGCCTCCCGGTCACCCTCTCCCCGGTCACCCCTGGTGGCCTGTGTCTCTGCGCCATGCCTCCATGCGCGCAGCAGCGGCCAGGCGGGCTGACACTCCTGCGCGCCCACCTGTTCCCCGCCTCACCCATTGCGCTCCTGGCACGACCTTTTCCCTTCTCCCGCCCTTTCTCCCCATCTCCCCCTCTCCTCCTCACCCCCTGTCCTCTCTCTCCCTCACCTGACTGCTTCCAGGCGTCCCTTGTTGGCCCGCGTGCTAGTGAGCGCATTCGCACGCCCCTTCGTGGCAGCGGGCGCTCTGGAATCTCCTCTGCTCCCACCTGCTCCTCGCCTCGCCATTCTCTGCCCCTCAAGACTGCTTCTTTCCGCTTTCCCCGTCCCCCCTTTCTCCCCCTCTTTCCCTCTTCCCTCCCCCTCTCCCACCCACTGCCCCCCATCTCTCCCCACTGCCCCCCATCTCTCCCCCCTGCCCCCCATCTCTCCCCCCTGCCCCCAGGCGTCCCTCGCTGCCCCGTGCATTGGTGAGCACATTCGTGCGCCCCTTCATGGCAGCGGGTGCACTCAAGCTCATTCACGACCTGCTGCAGCTCGCCTCGCCGCTGCTGCTGCAGCAGATCATCCTCCACCTCAGCATGACGTCATTCCATGTCAGCACAGCGCCCCCGCACCCAGCAGTCAACAGCTCAGCCGAAGGCCTCCATGATCCCTCGCTCTTCCTCCGCAACTCCTCGCTCCCTCTCCCCTCCACCCTCACACCCTCCCTCCACCGCTCACTCCTCTCCGCCCCCTCCACCCACCCAACTATCCCTGTCACTACCCCACTCCCCTCTCTCCCCCCAGCACCCCAACTCCTCGCTTGGATCTTCCTCCCTCTCGTGTCTCTCGTCCCTCAAGCGGCCCCCCATACCCAGAGCCCAATCGCCAACACCACTGTTGGCTTCACGGGCCCCCTCGCACACTCCTCAACTCACCCACTCCCATCCTCCTCCTCCTCGCACTTATCCTCGTTAGTGGCCGCTTCACTACCAGCGTGGCTGCCGGGGCTGCTGCTAGCGGGGGTGCTGCTGGCGTGCAACGTGGGCCAGTCGCTCGTCGCCCATCAGTACTTCCACCGCCTCTACCGCCTCTCCTCCCATGTGCGTGCCTCTCCTCCCATGTGCGTGCCTCTCCTCCCATGTGCGTGCCTCTCCTCCCATGTGTGTGCCTCTCCTCCCATGTGCGTGCCTCTCCTCCCATGTGCGTGCCTCTCCTCCCATGTGCGTGCCTCTCCTCCCATGTGCGTGCCTCTCCTCCCATGTGCGTGCCTCTCCTCCCATGTGTGTGCCTCTCCTCCCATGTGCGTGCCTCTCCTCCCATGTGCGTGCCTCTCCTCCCATGTGCGTGCCTCTCCTCGCATGTGCGTGCCTCTCCTCCCATGTGCGTGCCTCTCCTCCCATGTGCGTGCCTCTCCTCCCATGTGCGTGCCTCTCCTCCCATGTGCGTGCCTCTCCTCCCACGTGCGTGCCTCTCCTCCCATGTGCGTGCCTCTCCTCCTATACAGCTGTACGTCCCTCTCACTCACACTCCATTTCATTTTCATTCTCTCCCACCGCACTCCACCCCTGTGCAACCGCATCACTTGCCTCGTCCCACCACGTCCTCCCTCACGCTACCCTTTCCATACCGCATCCCCATGCACTCCCCTCCACGCCCGATTTACCCACCCCCCCTCCCCCCCCCCCCCACTCCTCGCACGACATTGACATGGTGCCCTCAGGTGCTCACGGCGCTGGTGGCGCTCATCTACTCCAAGGCGCTGCGCATCTCTGCTGCAGCGCGCCACTCCACCAGCCTTGGGGAGATTGTACGTCCCTCTGCCCCCTTCACACATGCGTGTAGCAGCGAGCCATGTGGCACCAAATGATGCCTCTGCTCCATGTGGCACCAAATGATGCCTCTGCTCCATGTGGCACCAAATGATGCCTCTGCTGCATGACATGCTTCAGATCTCTGTCTGCCCTTCCACGCTCTCACATCTCCTTCTCACACTCCTCATGTTCACTCTCTTCTCAAAGTGAAGTGCTCATCTCATCTGCTTCTTCACCTGTTTACCTGCACGCAGGGACCTTCACTACACTGCTCTCAACTCAAGCCCTGTGCTGTAACCGCTTCTGCTGTTTCCACCTGAGCAGGTGAATCTGCAGAGCAACGATGCGGAGAAGCTGGCGAAGCTCTGCATCTATCTGCACATCGTGTGGAGCGGCCCCCTGCAGATCATCGGTGAGGGGGGTTGCTCTGCCCATGGGGAGGCGTCTCACTGGAGGGGCTTGCGGGCCTGGCGATGTGTTTGAGGTTTTATGTCACCTGTGCTTCCCTGCTCGCCTGCTCACGGGAATACGAAAGCAGGGACCCACCAGCCCTCTTTGTTTCCACTCTTGACCACTGCAACCCTCCACCCCTCCCCTCCACCACCCCTCCTCATCCCCGTCCACCAGGTGCCTTGGCCTTCCTCTTTCGCTTCCTCTCTGTCATCCCTGGTGGGTCCATTATCCACTTCTGTAAATGACATGCCATGCCATCCCATGCCATGCCATGGCATCTCATGCCATACCATACCATGCCCTGCATCTTATACCATCCGTTTTAAATCCCACGCCATGTCATGACACAACCACCACGCCACCACACCCTGCTATCATCATGCCAGAATGATCATGCCATCACCATGCTACCTCTGCCATCCCACCACACCATGCCACCATGATACGATGGCATCGCGACATGCCATCAACGTACCTGATGCTGCCACTGTTAGCATGACCGCATTCCCGAAACGAGCCTGGTTTACAGCTCGTGGCAATTCACTATCCAGCCCTTTCTGTCAGCCCACTCTCCTCTTTTCCGTTTCTGACTTATTCCCATCTCGCTCGTGCACCCTCCCTTCAACCCTCGTGCCCCCAAACCCACCCCTTCCGTCCTTTCCTTCTCGCTGCTTCCCCTTGCCTTTACCTCACCTCGCCCTCCTTCCTTTTTCTCGCCCATCCGCACTGCCAAACTGCACTTAGACTCTACGTTCCTTCTGTATGGCAAGCCTTAGGGTGGGCCTTAGAAGTGGGCCTAGTTTGCTATAGTGCCATTGGATAATGGGACTAAGAGGCTCGTCAGCTTGGCTGCACTGCCTCCGTGCACTCAGATCCTCTCCCCATTCCCTTTCCCCCTCTCCCAATGTTTCCTTTCCCCACCAGCTCCCCTCTTTCCGCACTCCCCTACCTCTTCTCCTCCCTCCCTCCTCACCCCCATCCGCACAGAGCTGGTGGGGATTTCATGAACTGCTTTCCCCCTCTCCTGAACCCCTTTCCCCCCTTCCTTCTTTCCTCCTCCCTCCCTGTCACAGCCCTGGCAGGGCTGGCGACAATGCTGCTGCTGATGCCGTTCAACGGGGTGCTGATGGGGCGCCTGTCAGCGGTGCGCCACCGCCTCATAGCGCGCACCGATGCACGCGTGCGCCTGCTCTCCGAGGCCGTGGGGGCCGTGCGCGCCGTGAAGCTCAACGGGTGGGAGGCGCTGTTCAAGGCGCGCATAGAGGCGAGGCGGGCAGAGGAGATGAAGGAGATCACTGTGTCCGTGCTGCTGGGTGGGTGGGTTTGCTGGCCCCGGGTGTGTGATGCACGGGCGGGTGCTGTGCTGTGCCCCATCAAGGTCTGCTCTGCTCGCACACTACCACATTCGCACCCACGGCCTGGCCACCATTGTGTCTGCTACATGCGCAAGTGTCCTGCTTCATTTGCTTCGCCTTGCCTTTCTCCCTTCACCTTAGCTCCAACTCAAATTGAGAATGACTCGATTTAAAACCCATTGGTTGAGATTTCACATGGAGGCCTTACAGGGTACATGCCAGTAGCTGCCATGTGAATTCATGCCGTTCATTTGCATATGCCTCCCTTGCCTACGTGCACCCCTTTTCCCTTACCTCCTTGCCCCCTGTGCCCCCTTGTTCCCCTTTGTCCCCCACCACAGCCGGGCCATGCATGGGGGCCATGCATGGGGGCCATGGTTCTTTTCGCCGACTACATCACACCCATGCTCGTCCGTTCCGTACCTCCTTGTTCCCTATGCCTCCTGTGTCCCCACCCCCCACACACCACCACCAGAGGCCATGGGGCTATTCGTGTACTACCTCACACCCATGGTGGTCAGTGTCGTCTCCCTCGCCGCCTATGTGCTGCTCGGCCGCCCGCTCACCGCTGACGTCGCCTTCCCCGCCCTCGCCCTCTTCAACCTCCTCAGGTGCGCCCCCCTCCCCCTCATGCATGCCTCTCTTCGCTGTGTCAAGGGTGAGGTGGGTTTGGCCTGGGGTGAGGAGGATTTGGTCTGGGTGGGGTGAGGCGAGGTGGCACTAATACCTGCTTGTGATCTTTTCCAGCTAGTACCTGCTGCACTGAGCCGCGGCTCAGGTGCCACGAACTCAAGTGAGGTTGCTCCTTGTTCCATTCCCCATTGCCCAGACAGTCATTCAAGAGGCCCTTGCTACTGTTATCCTCATTGTCCAATGCCCACACACCCCCGTCCCAACCCCCACTCCTCCCTCCCACCTCCCCTTCCTCCTTGCGGGCTCCACCCTGGTTGCACGGGCATTGCAGGTTCCCCCTGGCCATGATTCCCGATCAAATCAACGACTACGTGCAAGCCAAGGTCTCCGCGGGCCGTGTTGAAAAGTTTCTGCTGCTGCCCGAGATCGTTCCGTTGGAAGAGGAGCCGGGCAGCCAGAAGGGCAGCATAAAGCTTTGCAATGCCTCTTTCTCCTGGGGAGGTGGGGCAGGCAAAGTGGACAGCGCCAGTGATGCTGATGGCAGTGGCCGCAACGATTCAAGCACTATTGGTGGTGGTGGCAGCGGTGGCAGTGGCAGTGCTGTGGCAGTGGGTGCGAATGGCATGGGTGCATGTGAAGCAAAGGAGGAGGAGGGAGGGAAGCAGGGAGGGAAGAAGGGAGGGGAGGGGGGAGAAGGGGCGTTGGCACTATGTGATGTGACGCTGGACATTCCTCCAGGGCAGCTCGTGATCGTGGTGGGCGAGGTGAGCTCACAGCCATGCACATTCACACCCAACCTCACTCGTCATCCGCTCTACTCTGTTGGCCTCTTACCGTCCTCTCCTCTCCTCTTCGCATGTGGCTGCCGGCAAGTCGTCTCTGCCTGCCAGGGACTAGGGGGAAGGGAATCAGTCAGGCGAGAGTAGCCGCTTCTGAAAAGCACCTTCCCGCCTCTCCTCTACCTCCCATTCCCCTTCACATCCTCCCTACCTCCTCCCGCGTGGCCAGGTAGGGGCGGGCAAGTCGTCACTGCTGGCGGGGCTGCTGGGGGAAATTACTCGTGTGGCGGGCAGTGTGTCAGTGGCAGGCCACGTGGCGTACACCAGCCAGGTGAGGTCATGTCGTGACACGTGTGCATGGTGATGTGGTGACATGCATGTGCATGGTGATGTGGTGACATGCATGCGCATGGTGATGTGGTGACATGCATGTGCATGGTGATGTGGTGACATGCATGCGCATGGTGATGTGGTGACATGCATGTGCATGGTGATGTGGTGACATGCATGCGCATGGTGATGTGGTGACATGCATGTGCATGGTGATGTGGTGACATGCATGCGCATGGTGATGTGGTGACATGCATGTGCATGGTGATGTGGTGACATGCATGTGCATGGTGATGTGGTGACATGCATGCGCATGGTGATGTGGTAACATTCATGTGCATGGTGATGTGGTGACATGCATGTGCATGGTGATGTGGTGACATGCATGCGCATGGTGATGTGGTGACATGCATGCGCATGGTGATGTGCTGACTGTTAGAGACTAAGGACGGAGTCTATGAAGATTAGGAGCTGAAATATCTCAAAATCGTCAACTACAATTCTGGACAGAAAAGTCGTCGTCACAAGAAACGTTGTCGACGATTAACGAACAGTTAGAATTCTCTCAAACTCGAGTATGTTGTAGCCCTTGACTGTGGCTATCTTTCTCAATTTGAATAGTATCAAAATATGAAGTATAACTCGAGTTATGAACTTCGGCGCACTAGGGGGTACGCTGCCATAGAAAACGTAACTCAATCACAATTATCTCACAAGTTCACACAAGAAAGTTAGAGTAGCAATAGAACCAAGTAGGAGGGGATAAGGAGGACGAGAGGGAAGGTCCCAAGGGAGTCCCCAACCAAGGACACCCCATACCACACAATTCCCCTCTCTATAGGCACCCCAACTTTGACATTTGTCACTTTCCCAACTCATACCATCCACCTCACCCAACTTGGCCACACTTGCCAACCTGGTTTGGCACCTCCCAACCACTTGGCAGCATCTACAGTGATGTTGACGAATTTCCCAACCCCCAAGAGTCTGTACTCCTTATGGAGTCAACACCACAACTTCCAATAGTCACCACAACCAAATATCAAAAGCATACGAACTTCCAACGTTCGTAACTTTCTTGTTCGTGCTCCGATTGAAGCGATACTTGGTTCGTCGGAAAGCTCTTGAGCAGAGGAGTCACTTCAGATATCTGCTCAAGCCAAATAACATTCACACACACTCAGAAAAACCAAACCGCACAAAACAGAAATTCTTGCATACGCTCACACCACGCATGCAACGCACGAACACATGATGGGAGGCAGACAGACGTGAATGCATATGATTGCATCACACAACAAACTCCCCCTCTGGCTGCCAACCATCATCCCACATGTCATAGCTCAAGCATGCACCCTCAATGCACACTCATCCCAGCAAGCTTCATGCCCTTCCAATGCTCAGATTCAGCCACGCGCTTGGTGAGAATGTCAGCCGCCTGCTGATGGGTCTTCACAATCTCCAGCCGCACCTCCTTGTCCAGGAGCCTCCTCACCCAATGCCACTTAGGCCTGATGTGCTTCGTCAGCCCATGAAGGCAAGCGTTCTTAGCAAGCTTCACAGCCGACTCGTTGTCACAGAAAATCACAGTTGGCTCCTTCTGGCACCCTCCGATCTCCTCCAACAAACGCCTCAGCCACACCACCTCCTTTGCCCCATGATGCAGGGCCATGTACTCTGTCTCACACGAGGACAGCCCCACCTCGTTCTGCTTCTTGCTGCGCCAGCTCACTGCACCACCTCCAAACAGGCACACATAGCCTCCAATGCTGGTGCCATCCGCCTTTACAGAGTTGAAGCTAGCGTCGGTGTAGCAAGTCAAGAGCATCTCCCCCTTGCTCAAATCAGCTGCACCCCTCTGCAGCCTCTGTCGCACAGCACTGTACTCAAAACCCACAGATGCTGTAGCACTCACATAGCGGACCAACCTCTTGGCCGCTTCTAGCTGCTCATGACAGGGGCGTGAGACCACACTAGCAAGCCTGGAAGTAGCAAAGGCAATGTCAGGCCGCGTGTGGTTAGCCGCATAGTTGAGTGCCCCCACCATGGAATGAAACAGCTTCCTGTCACTCTCACCCACCACCTCCTCATCAGCACAGGGCTCCACAGTGAACCCCGAAGGCAGTGGGGTGGCTGGTTTTCCTCCATCTTGCAGCCCATACTTCTCAGCCAGCCCCTCACAATACTTTCTCTGGTGCAACCTCAACACTCCCTTGTCAAGGTCCCTCTCCACATGCATGCCCAAATAGTACTTCACATCTCCCATCTTGGAGCACTTAAACTGCATCTCCAGCATCTTCTCCACACGCTCCTTCTCTTGCAGCAGGAACAAGCTGTGATCACACTCACTCTTCTTGAAACCCCCAGCCAGCAGTGTCTCCTCCAACTTGTGGTACCATGCGCGAAGAGCCTGCTTAAGGCCATAGATGGCCTTCTTGAGCCTGCACACCCTGCCGCTCCCATCATCCAACCCCTCAGGCTGCAGCATGTACAGCTCCTCTAGGATGATCCCATTGAGGAAAGCAGTTGTGATGTCCATCTGCTTGATCCTCCATCCACGGTTTGCAGCCATTCCCAACATCACCCTTAGTGTAGTCCCTTTCCCCACAGGAGCAAAGATCTCGTCAAAGTCCTTCCCCTTTGTCTGCTGAAACCCCTTTGCCACAAGCCTTGACTTGTAGCGGGTCAGCTCCCCATCAGGTCCGTACTTGTGCCTGAAGATCAGCTTGGAAGAAATGGCTTTCTTCCCAGGAGGCAGCTCACACAGCTCCCACGTTTCATTCTCCAGCAGAGAGTCATACTCCTCCTTCACACTCTGCTTCCACTTCTCAGCATCGGGCCCACTCAAGGCCTCAGCTAGCGTCTTGGGCTCAGGGACGGCTGCCCAGTAGCAGTGTGCTATCTCTTCCTCATCACACTGCTCAGCCACACTCCCAGCCCGTACCACCTTTGGCTTGCCAAAGCTCGGATAGGTCAGCCGGTTAGGAGGGCGCACATCCCTCCTAGGACGGTCAGCCGGACGTGCGGCACCTTGTGGAGCATCTTGCTGCTGCTGCTGCTGCTGCTGCTCCTCCACCTCAGGTTCTCCCCCATCCTCAGTCACCCCAGAAATCTCCTCCTCTGAGACAGTGACCTGCACTTGCCTCGAAGGCCGCTGCACCTCATCAGCCTCAATGATCAGCGGTGTAGTAGGAAGCTTCTGCTGCTGCTGCTTCCACTCCTTGTAGTACAAGGACTCAAGGAACTTCACATCCCTTGACACAGTCAGCTGCTGGCTGGTCAAGTCCCATATCAACCAGCCCTTATGATCCTTAGCAAGCCCCAAGTGTACTCCCCATTTCCCACTAGCCTCCACCTTTCCCCTCTTCTCCTTAGGCACATGAAACACCACCATGCAGCCGTAGGCTCTCAGCATGTTGACTGCTGGTGCACTCCCATACCACTTGGTGTAGGGGACCCACTGCTTGTCCCCCACAGTCGCCAACACCCTGTTCTTCACAAGGGCGACCTGCCGCAGTGCAGTCACCCAAAACGGATCCGGCAGCCCTGCACGCCCAAGGAGAGTGCGAGCACCTTCCTGCAGGGTCCGGTTGAAGCGCTCAGCCACGCCATTCTGCTGAGGGTTGTAGGGCACCGTGAGCTGATGCTGGATCCCCTTCTTCTTCAGCACCGCCTCAAAATCAGCGCCAATGAATTCTCCCCCGTTGTCAGTGCGGATCACCTTCACCTTGTGTCCGCTCTCCCTTTGAGCTCTCGGCATCCACTCCTTGAGAACAGCCGCTGCCACTTCCCCCTTAGTCTTGAGAGGGTACACCCACACCGCACGCGTGTGGTCGTCCACAATGGTTAAGAAGTAGCGGCTGCCCGAGAAAGAAGGGGCCCTCGTAGGGCCCACCACATCCATGTGCACAAGTGCGAGCGGGGCCTTAGCTGGTCCCGTGCCGCTGCTGAACGGAAACTTTGTGAACTTGGTCTCAAGGCATGTAGGGCAGCTCCCAATCTCCTTTGCTACCCCCTTCACCTCCAACCCCTTCAAGCTCCCATCCTTCACTAACTTCTGCAGCATAGGAATGTTGATGTGACACAACCTCTCGTGCCACGTCTCCCAATCGGCATCACCATTCCCAGATGAAGCCTTTGCCCATGCAGCGGTTGCATCCACACCAGCAAGCACCTCACCATGTGGCTGCTGTGACTGCTGCACCTTCTTGACTGCATCCAGGGCCCCATCAGTTGGTGCAGTCTCCTCTCCTCCCGTCGTTGCTTTAGCCGTTGCCGCTGCCTCTGCCGTTGCTGGTGGTTTCCCATTCCAAGGGATGATGGGCAGCTGCCACAGGTCCTTGATGCAGCTGCTCTTCTCCTCCAAATCCCACAGCAGCAACTTCCCAAGCTTTGCACGGCAGCTGGTTGGGCCGAAGGTCACTTTGGCCTTGCTTTTCTGCAGCCGGCGCACAGAGAGGAGGTTAGCGGACAAACCTTCAACCAGCAGTACATTCCCCAGCCCCACAAGGCCCCCATTGGCTCCCATTACCTTGGCATTCCCAACACCAATCACAGGGAGCAAAGCACCTGAAGCGGCAGCCACAAACTTGATCTTCCCAGGGGGCTTTACCTCGTCAAGCAAATCTGCCCGTGGGGTCATGTGACTTGTGCAACCCGAATCTATCACCCAGTGAGTGAGGGGGTGCATCACAACCTTCCCAACTGAGCCCACATCACCCTCACTCCCTTTCACATCCTCAACCATGAGGAACATCCCAGGGTTGGCTTTACCTTGTGCACCTGAACCTTGTGCACCTGAACCTTGCACAGCGCCACTTCGTGCACGTTCACCACTTGGAGGCTTCATGCCTGGAGGCGCCCATCCCTCAGGCCGGCTGAAACACTTGAACCACGGGTGTCCAGCCTTCTTGCAGTACCAGCAAGCACCCTCCATTCGAGTGCTCCCCCTGCCACCAGAGCTCCCATGCCCCTCGTTGTAGTCATCTCGGCCTCTCCCTCTGCCAAAGCCTCTCCCACGGCCTCGGCCTCTCCCTCCCCCTCTTCCTCTGCTGCCTCCTGCAGCTCCATACCCCTCAGCAGTTTTGTTGGCAGCACCACCACCCGTGTGGCGCCTGCGGAAGTCCTCCTGCAGAATCTGCTGCCGTAGCCACTCAGGTGTCCACTGGTCCTGCTGAGTGTTGAGGGTGGGGATGAGGTTGTCCCACGAGTTGTCGAGCACCGAGATGATCTTGGTGCACTGCTGCATCTGCGACACCTTGCTGCCCGCCGCTGCCATCCTCGCATAGGTATCCTTGATCTTGTCAAGGACCGGCTTCACATCATCGCCGAGTCGCATGGAGAGGGCAGCCAGCTCCTTCTCCAACACAATCACCATCGGCAGCGTGTTGGGCTGAATCACGTCGCGCAGTAGCTTCCACGCCTTTGGTCCGGAATCATCCAACTCCACCAAATCCTTGATGTGTTGGAACATATCGTTGTTGACCGATTGGAGGATTAGGTCGTACAGCACCGCACTCTTCTCAATCCACCGATCGCGGGCATCTCCTTCCTCCGGCATCTTCTCTTCACCCATCGCAAGTTTCAGCAGCTTGTAGCGCTTAAATGCACTCCGCATCCGCCCGCTCCATTCCTCATAGTTGGAGCCATCCAATGCCTCGATCTTGGATGGTGGCGACTCATTCCTCTTCTCAGCTGCATCTCCACTCCCTTGACTCATTTCCTCTGCTCCCAAGCACAGGTTCCAGCTCCCCCCTTGCTGTCCACACCGAAGTCCCACTCAATTTCCACAAGTGTCGGCACCAACAAAATTTCGGCAGAGTTTCCCCTTAGCGGAAGTCACATGCAACCTCCAGAACTCCACTTAGGCACGCCCACAGGCCATGGTGGGTCTAGGAGGGTCTTCACACTTCAGTAGACTCTCCACAAAGTCCTTAATCAGCTCTGATACCACTTGTTAGAGACTAAGGACGGAGTCTATGAAGATTAGGAGCTGAAATATCTCAAAATCGTCAACTACAATTCTGGACAGAAAAGTCGTCGTCACAAGAAACGTTGTCGACGATTAACGAACAGTTAGAATTCTCTCAAACTCGAGTATGTTGTAGCCCTTGACTGTGGCTATCTTTCTCAATTTGAATAGTATCAAAATATGAAGTATAACTCGAGTTATGAACTTCGGCGCACTAGGGGGTATGCTGCCATAGAAAACGTAACTCAATCACAATTATCTCACAAGTTCACACAAGAAAGTTAGAGTAGCAATAGAACCAAGTAGGAGGGGATAAGGAGGACGAGAGGGAAGGTCCCAAGGGAGTCCCCAACCAAGGACACCCCATACCACACAATTCCCCTCTCTATAGGCACCCCAACTTTGACATTTGTCACTTTCCCAACTCATACCATCCACCTCACCCAACTTGGCCACACTTGCCAACCTGGTTTGGCACCTCCCAACCACTTGGCAGCATCTACAGTGATGTTGACGAATTTCCCAACCCCCAAGAGTCTGTACTCCTTATGGAGTCAACACCACAACTTCCCATAGTCACCACAACCAAATATCAAAAGCATACGAACTTCCAACGTTCGTAACTTTCTTGTTCGTGCTCCGATTGAAGCGATACTTGGTTCGTCGGAAAGCTCTTGAGCCCAGGAGTCACTTCAGATATCTGCTCAAGCCAAATAACATTCACACACACTCAGAAAAACCAAACCGCACAAAACAGAAATTCTTGCATACGCTCACACCACGCATGCAACGCACGAACACATGATGGGAGGCAGACAGACGTGAATGCATATGAGTGCATCACACAACAGTGACGTGCATGTGCATGGTGATGTGGTGACATGCGAGTTTTACCGCATGCTGCATGGCAGGCTGGTGAGACAAAAGGTAGGTTTTTTGCAGCAGGCTATGGCAGACTCTGTGTCAGCCTCATTGCCACATGCACCCTCCTCACCAGTCTGCATGCTTTGATGGCGCCATGGCAGGACCCGTGGATTCTCAACGCCACCGTGCGCGACAACATCCTCATGGGGGCGGCGGGCGACACAGCGGCCGCAGTGGACGAGGGCCGTTACCAGCGAGCCATAGACGTGTGTGCGCTGAGGCACGACCTCGCCATGCTGGCTGGTGGTGACATGGCTGAGATCGGCGAGCGCGGTGTGTGTGTGTGTTGTTTCACATGGCTTGTTTTGAGGCATGTCGAGCCGGGCCAAAAAAAACATATTGACTCCAAAGCATATGGACTCCAAAGCATATTGACTCCAAAGCATATTGACTCCAAAGCATATGGACTCCAAAGCATATTGACTCCAAAGTATATTGACTCCAAAGCATATTGACTCCAAAACATATTGACTCCAAAGCAGCAACTGAGTGTTGGCTTTATCCCGTTATGATGCGTGTCATATAGTATTCATGCGGCATCTTTCAGTAAATCCTCTCTCTTTCTGCTTCCCTCTCTTTCCTTGTAAACCCTCTCTCTCCTGTTACACTGACGCTTGCTAGGATATTGTGCCTGGTTGCACACCGTTGGGTGCAGCATTTCCCAAATGGTAGCCGGTCAGTCAGTACATCTATTCTTCTCCCCATTGCCCTGCCTTTCCATGCTACGACTTCCTCGAGATGCTCCTGACTTCACTTTGGCCACAAGCAGTTGCGATTCCTGCCCCCTTCACTGCTACCTCCCATCAATGCCATCTCGTCCACCCACCAGGAATCAACCTGTCGGGCGGGCAGAAGCACCGAGTGGCGCTGGCGAGGGCGGTGTATGCGCGGGCTGATGTGGTGCTGCTGGACGACCCACTCAGCGCCGTCGACACTCATGTCGGTGCGTGCAGGGCAATGGGCAATGAGCAATGGGCAATGAGCAATGAGCAATGAGCAATGAGCAATGAGCATGACATCTGGGTGGGCGTGGGTGCATGGCACGTTGTTGGTTGCGTGCGGCGCATTGTATGTCATGGCATGATCGTGCTGAATGCATTGTCGCACGAGCGCAGTGCTAAATGCATGCACGGTGCGCGTATGGGAACAAGCAGTGGGTCGCATGAAGCACGGATTTAGTATTCAGTGCTGTCCCGTGACAGAAACATATCACTGCACACATGCCTTCTTTGCTCCAACTGCCACGTGTGCTGTACTCCATCCTCCTCTCGCAGGCCGCCACCTGTTCACAGAGTGTATCTGTGGTGAGCTGGCGGGGACCACGCGTGTGCTGGTGACACATCAGCTGCAGTATGCATCGCATGCTGACGTCATCATCGTCATCAGAGCCGGCCTTGTGACTGCCATGGGCACATTTGACGAGCTGCAGGCCAGGTGAGCTCTCATGGGAGCTCTCATATGAGCTCTCGACCCGACCCAGAGCTATGATAGCAGCGGGTGGAAGCAGTGGGAGCAGGGGTATTGCACAATATGCGTCCGGTGCATGCCTCTCTCACATGCACCTGCTCCTCCGTGTGCGTCTCAGGCCAACGCCATCAATTGCCGTCAGGCGTTTTGACATCGCTTGTTGCCCTCAATTGCGTTTCCCAATGGAGGGTCGGTGCATCTTGGTTATGGTTGCTCCTACCCGCAGCCGGGCAGGCCCGGCTTTACAGATGCCCCAACTCCTCATGCTCTCTTTTCTTGTTTGCCTGCTCTCATTCCGCTGGGCCATCAGGGGCGTGGACTTGGCACTGTGGGACGAGAAGCAGCAGGAGCCAGACGAGCAAGGCAAGGCCACGTGGCAACATGGCCCTGCTGCTGCTCCTGCTACTGCTGTCACTGCTGCGACAGCACCCGAGCCAATTGCACGCAGCTTAGAGGCAGCACATAGACCCAGCAGCAGCAGCAGCGGCAATGGCAAAACAGGGAGGGTGGGTGGTGGAAGTATCAGCAATAGCAGTGGCGCTTCAGAAGGCGACAACAACAACGACCTCACACGCCCACTGCTGGCTGACTCCTCCACATCCACACATCCAGCAGCCAGCACCACTGCCCCTGCTGCTCGTAGTGGCAGCGCAGGCAGCAGCGGTGGCACTGCAGAGGGTGGGAAGAAGCAGAGGGCGGTGGGGCAGCTGGTGGAAGAGGAGGGGCGAGCAGAGGGCGGGGTGGCAGCAGGCGTGTACTGGGAGTACCTCAGGGCGTGGGGTGGGCGGGCAGGGTGGCTCATGCCAGTGCTGGTGCTGGCGGTGTTTGGTGTGTCGCAGTCACTCAAAGTGGCCAGTGACGCCTGGCTCGCTGTGTGGACCGCCAAGACCTCCCAAGGCTCCTCCTCTGCTCCCTTCTTCCTCGTACGCCTCCTGCCCTGCCCCTGCTGCTCCTGCCTCACCCCTCATCTCCATTCTTTCTCATCTTGTGAACCCTGCTTCCGCATCTTCTGCTCCAGGAGTTGAGTTGGGTAGCCACAGCTTGTTTCTGTCCCTATTTTTGAGTCGACTCAAAAAGAGTTGGGTAGCCACAGCTTGTTTCTGTCCCTATTTTTGAGTCGACTCAAAAAGAGTTGGGTAGCCACAGCTTGTTTCTGTCCCTATTTTTGAGTCGACTCAAAAAGAGTTGGGTAGCCACAGCTTGTTTCTGTCCCTATTTTTGAGTCGACTCAAAAAGAGTTGGGTAGCCACAGCTTGTTTCTGTCCCTCTGCTTCTCACCAGGCTCATTGCTCTCTGTCTGCTTTCATCGTCACAATCAATTTGTTCACCAGGCTGTGCGTTTCTTCAACCACATTTTCTTTCCTTCCCCTCTCCCCTGCCCCCTCTCTCCTCTCACCAGCTCGTCTACAGCCTCGCCACTCTGGCCACGGGGCTCCTCTCATCCCTCCGTGGGGTGCTGCTTGCCTTGGGTTGCCTCACGGCAGCGCGCTCGCTGCACTCCCGCCTGCTCGCCCGTGTGCTGCGCCTGCCCATGGCGTTCTTTGACTCACAGCCATCAGGCCGCCTGCTGAACCGCTTCACACGTGACATGGAGCAGATGGACCTGCAGCTGCCTGACACCCTGCTCTCCTACCTCTCCTGCCTCTTCCAGGTCTGCTCCCGGTAACTCCACATGGTGAACTATGGAATGATGCAAATGCAGCTGGTGAATGCCAAGTGCACCTTCCTCCATCCATTATGGCTCGGTCTTTTACTCTGTCACCATGCCTTCAATCTTCACATGCCTCCTCTCCTGACTTCTCCGCCCACCCACATTTCCTCTCTTTCCCCCTCTCCCACTTCTCTTCCCCCCCACCCAACTCTTCCCCTGGCAGGTGGTGTTTGCCATCGTGGTGATAGTCATCGTCACACCGCCCTTCCTTCTGCCGCTCATCCCGCTGCTCCTCCTCTACCGCCGCATCCAGACCGTCTACATCGCGGCCTCGCGTGAGCTCAAGCGCATCGACTCGCTCGCCCGCTCGCCCATCTTCGCCCACTTCAGCGAGACCCTCACCGGCCTCTCCACCGTGCGCGCCTTCCGCCGCCAGCGCGCCTTCTCCGCGCGCAACAGCCTCAACCTCGACCGCGCCTCGCAGGCCTACCTTGCAGCCATGGCGTCCAACCGCTGGCTCGGGCTTCGTCTCGAGCTGATCGGCGCGTCGAGCGTGTTTGCCACCGCGTGCTTCTGCGTGGTCGGTGGTGTGGCTGCTGCAGCTGCAGCAGCGGCGGCGGCTGGTGGAGGGGGAAGCAGCAGCAGCACGGGCTCTTGGGCTGCTGGCTTTGCGGGGCTGGCGCTGACGAGTGCGCTGTCGATCACGGGGTACATGAATTGGATGGTCAGGATGAATTCTGAGCTGGAGTCGCAGATGAACGCTGTCGAGCGCATTCTGGAGTACACCACTCTGCCCACCGAGGCGCCAGATGTGATCGAATCTCGCCGCCCGCCTGCGGACTGGCCGCAGCAAGGAGTGATAGAGGCAGAGGGAGTGGTGGTGAGGTACCGCCCAGAGCTGTCCCCCGTGCTGAAAGGACTGACCTTCTCCATTAGAGCAGGTGAAAAGGTGGGCGTGTGTGGTCGCACGGGCAGCGGAAAGACGACGCTAACCATGGCGCTGTATCGGATAGTGGAGCTGAGTGCAGGGCGGATAGTGATCGACGGTATCGATGCTGCGAGCATTGGGCTGTGGGACTTGCGGTCGCGCCTCTCCCTGGTGCTACAGGACCCGGTGGTCTTCTCCGGCACTATCCGGTGGAACCTTGATCCCTACACTGCTGTTGCAGGGGCCGGAGGAGGGGAGCAGGAAGCGAGGAATGGGTGGAATATGGAGGGGAAGGGCAATGGTGGAAGGGTGCGAGGGGATGTGGAGTTGTGGGAGGCGCTGACGCAAGCCGGCGTGGCGGATGCGGTGAGGGCGTTGCCAGGTCAGCTCGACGCTGAGGTGGCGGAGGGTGGAGGCAACCTGAGTGTGGGGCAGAGGCAGCTGCTGTGCCTGGCACGCGCACTGCTGAGGCGCTCGCATGTGCTTGTGTTGGACGAGGCTACATCGAACGTGGACACGGCAACAGACGCGGCGGTGCAGGCAGCGGTTAGGGGAGGGGCGTTTGCAGGGTGCACAGTGATCACCATTGCCCACCGCCTGCACACTATTGTGGACTGCCACCGGGTCATGCTGCTCGAGGATGGACAGGTGGCGGAGCTTGATTCGCCGGCGGCGCTGCTGCAGGAGAGGTCGTCGAGGTTTTCGGCGTTTGTGGATGCCACCATGCCAAGAGAAGCTGCTGCTCTGCGTCGAATTGCTTCGGCAAAGTCTCTGGCGGCGAGCGAGGGATGAGGGGCGAAAAAGGGAAGGAGCGGCATGCCCCCTACATTGGCTTTCAGCTAGATTTATTACATGCTAGCTTGGTTTTGCTTGTGCTAAACCCATTTTGTTGGAATAACCGAAGGTTATGATAAGCATTCCCGAAGGTTCTCACTTAGCGCATCGCTTTATAACGAAGGATCGCACCTGTACCACCATCACGTTAAGCTCGTATAGAGCACGCGGCATCTCGAGAGTCCCTCGAGGGTCAACAGTCGCAATTAGTCAGCGGTCGTGCCCAGTAACTGAACTCGCAGGTTACACGATGCAACATGGTAACTGTCGAGCACAGGGATAGTTGCGGTTACTGTAGCAATGCAATACAGTGAATAAGGAGATGTACCCCTTGTTGGGCTGATAAAATCCCTTAGGATCTTTCCAAGGCTAAGACCCTGAGTAGGAATGTTGTAATTGCGGAAGCGTTCTTAGTGAACTTGTTGAACCAACTTGCACTAGTGTGTGAGAGCAAGAGATTGATTATAGCAAGGTAATACAAAGGCTTTTATAAGATTACAAGGAATACGAAAAGGTGCAACTAACTGTTTTGCTGTTGCGGTTCGATACAGTGACGACTTGGGCAACTGCTCAATACCGAGTCAGATGTTTGTCCTTGCTGTCGCGCTGTATTTCGTCGAGTCAAAGGTCGCTGACCTTTGACCTTCGCTTAACCTCCAGCTGTTACTTTCTGTCAACCTCCTCGGCTGACTCGCCGTTGCTCCGCTGTGATTCGCCTTGTTTGTAGTCTATTGTTTCGACACAACAGGAGCGTTAAGTTGCTTGTTTCCAACACTCCCCTTCGCTTCTGGAGTGTCGCTGCTGATGACGTGGCCTTGTCCAGTCAGCAGCATGCAATACTCGAACTTCTGCTTTCCGAGTTTCTTGGTCAAGTAATTGGCTGCCATCTCGGATGTTGGACAGTAGGATAGCTCAAGTCTCCCCTTCTCGATTTCGTCTTTTACGAAGAAGTACCGGAGGGCGATGTGCTTCGTTCGATTCGCGGACCCGTTCTTGTTCGCTATGGGAATGGCCGATTGGTTGTCGCAGAATAGGGAGAAGCTGGGTAACTTAGTCAGCTTCGCTTCTTCCAGTAGTTCGCGAAGGTACAATCCTTCCTTGGTGGTTGAGCAGAGTGCGATATATTCTGCTTCAGCTGAGGAGAGAGAAATTAGCTCTTGCTTGCTCGACTGCCACGAGATAGGGCCGATAGGTTCAAGTCGGTAGATGTAGCCGGTGCGCGATCGCCTGTTGTCTAGGTCGCCGGCGTGGTCAGCATCCACATAACCGATTAGCTTGGGCGTCGTAGTTCCGGTCTTGTGGTAGGTTAGGCCGATCGTCGGGGTGCTGACGAGGTAGTGAAGTGCACGGTCGAGTTCCGCCATGTGATCTGCTTCAGGTTTCTTGAGATGGGTGGCGAGTTGACTAGCTGAGTAAGATAGGTCCGGTCGGCAGGTAATGGCTGCGAAGAGTAGACAGCCTAGCTTTCGTTGGTAGTCGCGAATGCCGGCGGGTTTGAGTAGGGCAGAGGCTTCCTTGCGATTTCCGTCGGTGTAACAATATGGCGTGGTGATGGTAGCTGGAGTTAGTCCGAAGCGTTTGGCGATGGTGTCGGCGTATTTTGCGGCGCTGAGGTAGATTGCGTTTTCCCCGTCTTGTATGTTGAGTCCTATGTATTGTGTCACGGTAGACGAGACGGTGAGCGTGAGGTCCCGCTGTAGCTCCCCTTCAAACCAAGTTGTTATGCTGTCAGTGGAGCCTATGTAGAGTAGGTCGTCTACGTGGACGATGAGCAGGATATAGTCGGTCCCTTTAGTGAGTCGGTACATTCCTTGGTCATGCGGTAGTTGGCTGAATCCGATGCGGATTAGTCGGGCATGAAGGTACTGCTGCCACTGTCTCGGGGCTTGCTTGATGCCATACAGTGGTTTTTGCAGCTGACAGTTTTGATTGGGGTCGGCGTTAGATCCGTGTGGTTGTTCGACAAAAATCTCAGCGTCGACGGGAGCATACAGAAAGGCGTTGGCGACGTCGATTTGTCGGAGCTTCTTCCGCTTCATGGCGGCTATCGCGAGGAGAATCCGCAGTGAGGTGTGTCGGCTAACTGGCGCGAAGGTTTCGGTGAAGTCTCGTCCGTGCTCTTGATCGAAGCCGCGTATGACCCAGCGCGCCTTAAACTTATCGATCGTTCCTCCAGCTTTTGTCTTCACGCGGAAGTCTCATTTTCCCGTGAGAACACTTTTGTTGCGTGCCACTCCAATAGGCACTATTTTCCAGGTGTTTCTGTCTTCTAACGCCTTCAATTCCCTGTCCATGGCTTCGCGCCATTTTTCCTTATGCTCCCCCCCAGAGCCTGCTGAACCGTGGCAGGCTCCTTCGGTGGCGCTGCTCCGTGGACGGCGGTGACGAGTCCCAGTATCTGCAGCCCACTCTATGTGTAGCGGGAGAGATTTGCGTCCTCAGGATAAGCTGCTTCATCTCCCGCTTCTGGATCAGGTAAGAAGTTGGGCCCTATGCGTTCGAAGACGTTGGTGTCGACCGGTTGGGGTGTAACGTAACCGTTGTCGGCGAAGTCATAGTAGACTTCGGCGTCGACACTTTCGCGAGGGTTGTCGTCGTACATGGGAATGTCCACTGAGCAGTACGGAAAAGGTCCGGCTTCCTCCGAAGCTCCGTCCACGTTCTGCTCGTCCCACTCAGCTTCATCTGCTGCCGAAGCGAAGGCTTGGTCCCCACGAAAACCGCCCGTGACATCTCGTTCTGCTTCCAGGTTGTCCAGGTACGTCTGAAGTGTGAGTCGCTCGTAGAAAATGACATCACGTGCTGCTACTGTTTCCTTTGTGTGGACGTCAAAAATCTTCCATGCGTTGTAGTGTTTTTTGATGCCCAGGTGTAGTCCCCATTGTGCGCGTTGGGAGAATCGGCCGGCTCGTGCAGCTAGGGGTCGGTACTGTACCATGCAGCCGAATACTCGTAACATTTTTGTGCTACCCAATTTTCTTGTCCATAGTAGATGCGGTGATGCGTTGTTCGGGAGCGATGATGACGAGAGCAAGTTGTGCAGCATGACAGCGTGGCCCATCGCCTTGGGCCACTGGTGGTTGGGCAGTCGCATGCCGCGTAGCAGTTTGCGCATGGTGTTCTGGAGGAACCTGTTCATTCTTTCTGCCACGCCTTGTTGTTGAAGGGCGTAGGGGAGTGAGATGAGTCGCTTGATGCCTCTCTCTGCCAGGTATTGTGTGAATCGCTGTGACTGGTATTCTCCTCCTCCGTTTGACTGGAAGCTTTTCAGTTTCACTCCTGATTCCCGTTCTGCTACTGGAAGCCAGGCGACGAAGGCTTGGAAAGCCATGTCGCGGCTCGGAAGGTTGAGGTGCCAGACGTATCGGGTGGCAGCGTCGATGAACGTGATAACGTAGTTGTAGGCTCCTTGTCCACTTTCGCGGTCGAACAATATGTCGCTGTAAACCTTCTCCAGTGGTGTGTATGTCGGTGCGCTCGGGTTGTGGTGAGAGATGAATGGCTGATGGGGTAAGTCGGCTTCGGGGCAGGTAAAACATGTTCCACGAACTCGCTGGAGTTCCCTGCCGTCATGTAGTAACAGTGAGTCCTTGTCGAGTACTCCAGCTCTTATCGTGTTGTTTAACGTTGTGTTACTCGGGTGTCCCATCCTTGCGTGCCAGATTGATTCGCTAGCGCGATGTCCGGGTGATCGCCTGTACAGGTCAGAGTTATAGTAAAGTCCCGCGGTGAGGTTGGCGCTTCTGTGAACTCCGCGTGGAGTGGGAGTCAACTGCTACGCAGGAGTCGGTGGAGTATCCTCGATGAGAGCTGGTGCCGTTGAAGGACCTGCGATTGGTGTTGTAGTCAGTGTTGCCTCTGCTGCTGCCAATGTTGTCTCTGCTGTTACTGATGTTGTCTCTGCTGCTGCCGATGTTGTCTCTGCTGCTACCGATATTTGTTGGATTGTCACTAACGCTCTCGTTCGTTCTGCTTCAGGTATAGTGTGTGAGTACCAGAATCCTTTGGGACTAAAGTCGGGGTCGAGATCTGGCGGGTGTGTCCAGGAGGTGAAGTTGACGATGGCGTCGCTGTCGGCGGTGCCTTGGTCTGGAACGAAGTCAAGAACGAAGACATTGTTCTTCAAGACTGCTTTGCCGATGTAGAGTCCACCCTTCTCGTGGTACAACTTGAACTCCTGGGTGGTGCTGTCTGCTTCGAGATGGATTCCCTTCGCCATTAGTTAACTGACGCAGAGTAAATTATAGCCGAGTCCTTCTGCGATAAAACCCTTTGACATCTGCAGAATAACGTTGGTTTCTTGAGACTGAAGTTGAACTATCCCTTGTCGTGTGCGCAGGTTCTGGTTGTTGGCGACGGTGATTACGACTTTGTGCTGAAGTTGGTGTTCCCGTTGAACGAAGCAACCCAATGAGCACATGTGTTGTCCGCAGCAGCTGTCCAAGAACCAGGTGTCTTTCCAGGACGGCTCGCTCTGGGCGATGGCAGCGTACGTCGGATTGAGCTCCAATGATTCATGGAGAGGGGTGCTTTTGTCGAGTTGTTCTTCTGGTGAGTAGTATGGTGGCGATTCGGTGATGCAGGAGTCTGTTGTTCTTGCCATGCAGCTTACGATGTTTCTTGCGCCTTGTGGAGGGTTTTGTCGTCGATGTCGTTGAGGACTATACTTGATTGGTGGGATGCGCTTGTGTAGAAGCAACTTGACTACTTGAGGGTCGAAGTTGAATTTGCGACGGCGTTGACTGCTGCTGATTCGGGCAGTGTGTGCGAGGGTGTCGTGACATCTTGCAGAGATGGCAGAACGGTGGTACGTACTGTTGAGCTTGATGTTTGTTCTGTCGATTGTTGTTGTTGTTGTAGAGCCGTTGAGTGTGAAACGCGAACTCTGGTGCTGACGCTCTCTTCTTATGTCGTTCTTCGTGTAGGTCCATGTCCTGCTGTTCAGCGTGAATTTCGGC